GTCGCAATAATTGCCGTAAAACCACCAAGGATTCTCGTGCCAATGACAATATGTCCCTGCCGGATAGTGTAATTGAACAAAATCGCCCGGTGCCAATTAAAAACTTTGCCGAGCATTATCGTATGATGTCAGCCGATTCCGATTTCCGTTTCAGCGAAGAATTTGATGAGCTGAAACATGTGGGTCGTGATCAGCCATGTACATTTGCCGATTTACCATGTAATCGCCCGAAAAATCGTTTTACGAATATTTTACCCTATGATCATTCACGTTTCAAATTACAACCGGTCGATGATGATGAGGGTTCAGATTACATAAATGCCAATTATGTACCCGGTCATAATAGTCCGCGTGAATTTATTGTTACCCAGGGTCCACTGCATTCAACACGTGATGATTTCTGGCGTATGTGCTGGGAAAGTAATTCACGGGCAATTGTCATGCTGACAAGGTGTTTTGAAAAGGGCCGTGAAAAATGTGATCAATATTGGCCAAATGATACCGTACCAGTATTCTATGGTGATATCAAGGTGCAAATATTAAATGACAGTCATTATCCAGATTGGATTATGACCGAGTTTATGGTGTGCAGGGTAAGATATATAAATTTATTTTCTAATTCTTAAATTTTATAAAATATTTTTTATTATTTCTCATTATAGGGAAGTGAACAACGTATTATACGCCATTTCCACTTTACAACATGGCCTGATTTTGGTGTGCCAAATCCACCTCAAACTCTTGTGCGTTTTGTTAGAGCATTCCGTGATCGCATTGGCACCGACCAGCGACCCATTGTTGTACACTGTAGTGCTGGTGTTGGTCGTTCGGGTACATTTATAACATTGGATCGTATTTTACAACAGATAAATACCTCTGATTTTGTTGATATCTTTGGTATTGTCTATGCCATGAGAAAAGGTACGAACCAAAACAAAAATATTATTTGGTATACTAATATATTTTCTTTAATTTATTGAATAGAACGTGTTTGGATGGTCCAAACGGAACAGCAATATATTTGCATCCATCAATGTCTTTTGGCTGTGTTAGAGGGTAAAGAAAATATTATTTGTCCACCCCGTGAAATGCACGACAATGAGGGCTATGAAGGTAAGTTTTATTACTTTTTGTTGTTATTGTTATTTTATATTATTTCTGATAATTCAGATTGATGGTTATTGGTAAATTGGTTTCTGTGTAACCTCTATACGGGATAATAGATTAATAATACATGTTTAAAATTTCGTTCCTATGGATGTTTTATAAATTAAAAACCTTTAGTCTAATTTGCTTTAGGTTCGACTGTCTATGCTATTGTCTCAATATTTAAACATTTTTTAAAAAATATATATACAAAATTAAGTACATAAAATTTCAAATCGTGCTAAATGGCGTTTCACTTATTAAATTTTTAGGAGCAATTCCAATCTATAAAAATAGCCGACTTGTTATAATTGATATAAATTACGTTAGTTAGTAACAAAATTTGTTGAAATATCGAGGGACTGACCGGTATTCTCACAAGACATAACAGCCCGCAGACCCACTTACATAAGATTGGATGCGAGGGAAGCAGCTGATGCAGAACGTGAGGGGAAGACAGCGAAACGTTAGAACGTTTTATGTGTCAATGCCCAGCCTTTTTAAGCTTCCGATCTTAACTCTTGGGAAATGACACATTTCATGAACTAACCGACCTAATGGGTTGTGAATGGAAAAAACTGAAGGACTTCACTAACAAAACAAAGTTCCAGAGTAGCTCGGAATTAAGACAACATATCATAATAAAGCAGAAAATATCCATATTCTTCTCCTCTTGTAAAGTGTTGGTCATTGATCTGTTTATATTGTATTTGTGCATATGTTTGTTACATCAAAAGAAACCGAGATAGACACATGGTTCCTTCTTTAGATTTAGATATAGCTCCCATATATAGTTTCGTCCGAGTTTATGTAAATCCCAACATTTGTCCGATTGAGACAAAATTTTGAACAGAGTACTGAATTAAGTGCTGATTGATGTCCGCGAAGTTTTGTTAAAATATATTCAGATTAATATATAGCTCTTATATATAGTATGGTCCGATTTTATGTAAATGGTCTCCCAATATTTTCCGATGGAGACAAAATTTTGCACAAAGTCCTGCAATAGGTGCATATTAATGTATGCGAAGTTTAGTGGACATCGGTCCTGATTTGGATTAATCTCCCATATATAGTTTTGTCCGATTTTAGATAAATGGTACACCAAACTCCCAATATTTGAGTTGAATTCGATTCATATTTTATGTAAATGATGCCCCGAAGAGCCTATTTTGTTCGATTCACACGAAATTTGGAAGAGGTGAATTTAGAGTGATGTTTATTAAAGTTGCAAAAATCGGTTTAGATTTCTAAGTTCCGGATTTAGTAATCGTCCCATTGTTTTCAACTGAAAAGGGACATAGATTAAACGGTCTACATAACCAAACACATATTGATCCACATAATTCCCTAAATTTTAACATAACAATACCAAATCATATGTGACCGAAATGCGAACGACACACATAGCTTGCTAGAATCATATTGTTTGACTCTTGTTATACTAAAAGCTGGATTTTTGGGATCAATATTAATTCAATACATCAAGTCTTAAGTCTATACATCATGACTTCCTAATTAAAATTTTGGAAAAAGTTTTCGGAAATATCATTTTTTTATCTTAAAATTAATTTATAGATTGTCTAATCCGAATCAATCTGAAATGCTGGTGCGCTATGACAATACAACGTGTTTCCCCTCCTCATGTGTGTTTGTTTGACGTCATTGTTAGACAAGCAGCCACTCATAGAAATCCAAAAACATGCCGTTTACAACAACCACATTTATGGGGTGTGGATCTATTGTTGTTGTAAACGTTGTGTGTGCTGCTTGTTAATCACTTGTATACGATCGCTTGGTATGTGAATACCCGATATGAATTCCTATACAATTTGTTACCTTCAGTGTATTTCTAATTTTTAAATTTTTTCAACATTCTTCGATAGTTCTCATTTAGATTATAATTCTCCGAACTAATAGCGTTCACATTGAGTGTGTTGAAATTAAGACTATACTTCACAGGATCATTTCTGTAGTCAGTCTTCAATTACTTTCATTGCAAAATGAAAAATCACACACCCGCGATGAGGAGGTACATCGTTTTATCTGTAGCGTGAGGTTTTGAACTTTGTCTTTTGTTTGCCGATTCCGGTTGATTGGGACAAAGTTTCTTCGATGATCGCTCGATTAAACGGATAAAACGACTTCTGAGTGGTGTCGTCCCCCTTTTAATTAATAAATTTAAAAGAAACTTGGTTTTTCGATTCGTTCGATTGCAATAGCTACCTTCCATAAAGCTTAATATTATTAAGGTATTTAATATTAAGTGAGGAATATTCTAGCGATATAAAGATTTCCAAAAGGTCAAATAATTGTAATATACAGTATTGTTCGAAACCTAAGCAACTTTTTCTTAGTGAGTAATAATGGTCTTTTATTATCTTGTTAAATTGAATTATGAAAAGTATTATTTTATTAACTATTACATTATACAGTCGACACTATACGGTCGACTCCGCTTTAGTGAAACGGAAAAAAATTTGGATTTTTGAACTGAAAATAATTTCAGTTATCCGAACTCATGATAAGCGAAACATTTTTTACTTTTACGAATTTCAATAATCTCTATATCATAGCGAATATGTATGTTTCGATTTTTTTAAGAAAATTGACGATAGAAATTAAAACTGGTTAACATGTTCACTGCTTATGGGAATTATATTATGAACTGTAAAACTTATGAACTTGTAACGAAATCCATCGTCTGCCTGTTGCAATCGTAAGACCTATCTTAAATACAACGTTTGATTTTAAGAACCTAAAATATCGGTCTTAAGTCTTTTTAACAGCTGGCTAAGCTGTAATACCTAATATGAGGTTGTAAATGAGTATAATACTTCCTTGCAAAACTTGTCACCAGACCTCAATCCCATTGAGAGCCTTTTCAGCATTTTAAAACGAAGGATTGGAACACGTCGCTTTAAAAACAGACAGGTACTAATGAACTGCTTAAAATCAGAGTGGGAAGCTATACCAACAACAATTCTAACAAATCTTGTAGAGTCAATGCCAAAAAGATGTGCGGCAGTGATAAAAAAATTAAGGGTATCATACGAAATATTGAAAGTTGCTTAGGTTTCGAACAGCTGCTTTGTGAGTTAATTTTGTTTTCATTTCTTTATTTTTTTTCCAAAGAAATATAATTTAAATTTGTTATTATTTTCAGATTATAGACATATAGTATAATAGTAAATAAAATATATATTTTTTATAAATCAATCTAACGATATCATATAAGACCATGACTACGTACTAAGAAAAAGTTGCTTAGGTTTCGAACAATACTGTATATGTATATAGGATCTATAATGTCTTCCGAAATATATGAGAATTGTATTTAAAATATTTTATCAAACAAATAGAATCAGTCTGTATGTAGGTGTCCTAATTATAACTATAAAGATTTAAAAGATTCTATCTACCTGTAGGTTATTGAAGTATGTTGTGGTAAGGTGTGTAATCCATGAGATTCTGTGGCAAAAATTAGGGTTATATAGATGAAAGGAAAATAATATTTTTTAAATGTAATTTCTCGAATTTCATTTCTTCAGCCTTTAATAACAATCCATATGAACGAAAATTTTAAACATTTTTATTTCTTTATAAATAAATATATATTTTATATTCATTTTAACAATCTGAATTATTGCATAAATCACATTTCTTAAATATGTATACACACAAAGAAAATCATGTACTTGGTGTTGGGTTTCAATGCGTAACTAACATGCCACAACAACTATTTTTTCTCTTGTTTCTTCCCTAAACAAATACACAAATTAAAATAAATATATTCTAAAAAAAACAATATGAAAAAACACAAACAAAAACAAAAAAACTGCACATAATTCCTAAACCAAAAAAGGACAACCTTGTCAATTCGATGAAAATGGTGAAATTATTGCCACCATTGAAGGTCACAATGAAATGCACGATATGATATTACAACCCGAAGATGCCGAAGCCATTGACGATGAAAATGCTGGCATTATCAATGACGATCAACAGCCGCTGACTAGTTTCGGCGGTGGTGCTATACACAGTGCTTCCATGACATCCTTTGGCACATCTGGCCAGGCTTATACAAGCGATTCTTTGGACAGATGACATACGGCCAATCAGAACGATAACAACAATTCGGTGGTTATCGTTCTGGTTGACAATAAGCCTAGTTCGATGATCTGTAAGGAAGGTTCCATAGATGTCATTAGCATTGGTGGCGGTGGCAATACGACCACAACCACAAGCAGTAATAATAGTGCCAATTCGCAGCAGCAACTGAATGGTATCGGTGCTGGGGACAACAGCGGACAACACCGCGGTTCAATAGCCACCATAACAAATGGTCACAATACGTTACAACATAGGCGCAAATCACAATTAATAACATTTAGTTCATCTTCCTGTGATATTAAGAATAGTCTTAGCCATGAATATATTATGGTCAATAATAATAATAGTAATGCAACTAAAAATAATTCCTCAACGAATGGAATCACTGGCAGTCACACAATTGCCCGGGGCAGTACTGGTAGTGGTTCGCAAGCGGGCATGGGCAGTGCCCATAATAATACACGCCTCAGTTTTGCCGAGGAAGATATTATGATAATAACCGGAGCACATCACCCATCGTCTCAGACACCGCATCAGCAACTACAACAGTCTCAAGTTCCAAATGGTTCAATAACCGGTTCCAATGGCAGTGCTTGTGGTTCTGTGGATCATGGCAATGATCTAGATGATGATGTATTTCGTCGACATTCCCTTGAGGTGGACGAAGAGGCTCAAGATGCCCTATATAATGAAGAATATGGTAGTACACATATCGATGCCAAATCCAATAATGCCAATAACGACGATAGCGGTGGTGGTAGTTATGAAGATTCACACGCCCTGCACAGTTCCCTCGGCGGTAGTAATCGCAATAGTTTAGAAAAAGATGATGACGAAATTGAAGTGGATGTCATTAGCACCGATGCCAGTTGTTATGACCAGCTGTTGGGCAGTAGTTGTAATACGCGCAACGATGAAGATGAAATTGCCACCATTGTTGGTGATGCTGACAATTATACGAAACTCTCGAAACATAATAATATGAAAACGAATGGTGTTAATTCATATGGAATAGTAAATGGTAGTGCTGGAAGTGGAGGAGGAGGTGTCGGTGTTGGTGGTGGTAGTATTGGTGAAACTGGTGGTGGTATTATATATGCCAATCCTTTTATGGGTTTGTACAAAAATTTTTATTATAAAATAAGTAGATTTGCTGGTTGTCTTCTTTAGTTTGTAATATGTTTGTTTTTATTGAAAAAACAATTGCATGCTGTTTTAAAAATTTAATTGAATTATTTTTTAACAAAAACTTGAATATATAATAAACTATTGATTTATTAAACCGATAACAGAATCGTATTACGAATGTTTGTAAGGGATAATAAGATTCTATTATATGTTTAATAAATCAATAGTGTATATACTTAACTATCGTACTTTCTGGATATTCTCCTCATTTACATATTACGTACAATTTTAAAACATTTTTTTAAAATTAAAAAATAATTGAAGGCTGGGCCAACATTACAATATCAAATAATACTTCAAATTTTCACTTCCTGATATTTTTTAATTTTTTAATACTATTATGAAAGGTAATTTAAAAAAAGAAAGATTCACCCGATTTCAGTAAATGGTGCAGTAGAGAACCCACTTCAGTTCGAATTATACTACATCGCCTAATTGATCTATTGTTGTTGCCAGCGCCATCTATTGAATGGGTAGAATCAAAAATCGATTATGGAAAAATTTAAAACACATTTGTATTTTTTCTTGACCTTTTGATCTACTGTAGATATCTTAATGAAATTGGTGTCATGTGAAATTGTATTTTTCAACTGCATGGTTTGAATCATGTCCATCAATAGATGGCGCTGACGACATATTTAGAAAATTACCTCTTTTTTATATACCTCTTTTTTGTCATAACTATGGAAAAGTCCAGATATTTAAATTAAATTGGTGTCATATGAATAATACAATGATATTTGTGGTATAAAAATGATTCACTGACCATAGTGAAATATATATATATATATATATATATATATATAGGTGGGCTTCAAAAATGTGTTTTAAAATGTTTTAAATCATGTTTTAATAGATGGCGCTGATGGCGCTGGGTTTATAAAAATTACAATTTATTTTTGCTATAACATTTTTCGTATTGCTGATATTCAAGTAAAAGTGGTGTCATATGAAAGGTATAATTGTATACTTTTTTGGAAATAATTGAAATTTCAAAATTAATTGAACATTAATATAAAATTGGAGTTTTAAAATTAGTTTAATATTAATATGAAATTTGAGTTTCACGATTAAGACTGTTTTATTTATTTTAAGGCTGAAAGAAAAAAGTTTTTCGGCCGAAATCGTATAAATAAATTCCTCTAAAATGAATGTTCTCTCCGCTAAGATTTTATATTTACAAATTTTAATATTTTCTTCCATACATTCCCGCAAAAGCATCTCCCGCCAAAATCTCATTTTTTAAAAATTATACTGTGGCGGACCACAATATTGTTCCGTGCTTCCTTTTTATTATGCATGTTATTCGTTTATATTTAATTTATATAATTTACTATCATTGCTTTTATTTTGTAGTCTAGCTACTTTTATTTCACTTTTTTATTAGAAATATATTCTTAATTTTTCCGCATACTAACATTAATTGTTCTTTATTATAATTTAATTTAATTCAATTGCTAATATATATTTTCATTTCATTACTCTTTTTCATTACAGACGACGAAGGCATTGCTGAATCTGGTATGTAAGAGGTATGTTGTCGGATCATGTCACCCCCAAAAAACTTTCACAACCAATGCTTCCTGATCCACCTTATACATCCATCCCTCCCAACTTCCCTAAACATCTGCAGCAGCTAATCCTCATTGTTAGGGATATGGTATAATACAATAATAAAATTAATATATATATACATACATATATATGTAGACATATATACTTGACAAATTCTGATATTAGATATACATATAAATATAAACTATTAAACCATATATATACAAAAAATGTATATTTATTAATGAAAAGCCACATAAAACAAAACGTAATCATTAAAAAACAAAAATTGTTTTTTTAATGATATTCATTGAAATGCGAAGAAGAAGAAAACCTAACTCGAAATATTACAACAAAAACAAAAAACTAAATGAAAATTGTAAAACTCATCATTATTAAGAAAGAATCTCTCGCCAATAAGAACAAAATAAAAATGAAAAAACAACAACAAGAACATAAACATATATATAAACAATGTATTTTTTAGATAACAATGAAAACAAAACAAGGACACTTAACTATTTTACATTAAATTTATACAACAACAAAAAACAACAACATATAATAATTATATATATTAAATATTTAAAGGAAAATGTAATTTTTTTATTTCATAAGTTAAACAAAAAAAATATTTCATATTAAAAAATACAACATTTTGACAATGCAATCTAAATGGAGGATTATTATATTCATACAGTTTCGATTAAAATTTTTAGTTAAAAATGGTAATTAAAATAATTTATTAGCTAAAAATGGAAGTAATTTTTTGTCAATTTTATTTGAAGTAGTAAAACATCCAACCTATATTTTGTAGCTTTTAAATGTATTTAAAATACATTTTAAAAATTACCAATTGTCCCCATAAAAAATTCGTTGCCGTACACAGAATCGAATACAACTTTTTTGATTTTATAAAAGTGAAATCTTTTAATAATAGATTCTGGAACAGACCAATAATTTACCTTTAAGTTTTGATAGTTTAAAAACCAAAATGGTCTGAAATGTTTGTTTCTCATAAAAATCGTAATTATATTTCCACCATTAGGTTTTCAAGCAACATTAGAGAATTTATAATATTGTGTCATATTTTCTAAATATTTATATAAATATATAAAAATGTAACAAATCAAACAACCCTCGGTTTAAATTGCATTTTCGGAATTGTTGTGTTTTTTTTATATAAACAACTATATACAATTTTTTTTAGATGCAATTGTTTTATATATACACAAAACACACCTAATGTAACACTAATCAAGAAACAAAATATTATGTTAAATTATTATCACATTATTATTTTTTATTATACAAACAAGAAACTGTATTATTTTTGTTTTAATTTTTTTTTTCTTTTTGCCGTTTGAAATTTAAGCTTGTGTGAATGTAAATTGTAGAAATGATAAACAAACAACTCTTAACAAATTATAAACAATATGAAATGCAATAATAATTTAAATTTATAAGTGTAATTGTTAATATTCATCATAGTAACTCTCTTTAACGCCAATGTATTTTTTTAATTTTCTGTTTTCTTTTCTGTTTATTTGTTTCATATATAAGAATATCGATTTAAACATTTTGTTTTTGAATTGTTTTCCCATTTTGATTTTTATTTTTGTTTAAGATTTTTTTCTGCGTCCATTATTAAAACAGAAAAGCAAGAAGCAAACAATTGTGAATTTTTATTGTGTATGTTTTGATTTAAATAAATAATAAAAAAATAAAAACATCACTCATCTATAAAACAAATGTGTGTTTTTCTTATAAAATGTCAAGTAAGTATTAAAAAAATTGCTTAACATTTTAATTAAATAATATAATTATGGGAAAATAATGATTTAAGAATCAATTAACCACAACGTATCTCATTTATGCCTGAAAGTATGCTTCAAATAATGTCCATTCCCTAAAAAGTTGGCAACACTGGCATAGACATCCGGATAGCGCCATCTATTGAAACACATGATTCGAAATGGCAAAACAAAATTTGAAGAAATGTTTTTTCATCAAAAATGACATATCGTTAAAAAATTAAATTGCGTTTTTAAATAGTTTAGAAATAAAAATAAATTAAAAAAATTACACAACCGTAAAGTAGGGATCTTAGTCTAACGGCACATAATAAGAGAGGGCTACTCCTAACACGTTTTTGTATGGAAAACGAGGCCTATTGCGTATCGTATTTAGGTTGAAACAATTTATCATTATTTTTGGATTTTTTAATACTTTGAAAGGTTTGACTACATTTTCCCAACAATTTGAAAGTGGATATTATTATTGCATATAAATCATTTTTAAAATTTATTGATATCTGTCTATTTTTTGGTATTTTTTTGAAATTATTCCTATACCCTTTTAAACATTGAAAAACAGCCGATTCTGTTCTATGTGAGAAATACCAATTAAGATCTCCTCTGTCAAATGGGTTAGAAAATGCAGTAAACCTCTTTAATATTTAATTAATATAAAAAATAATGATTTAAAAAACAATTAACCACGTTTCTCATTTACGCCTGAAAGTATGCTTTAAATTACGTTTGTTCTCCAAAGAGTTGGCAACACTGGCATAGACATCCGGATAGCGCCATCTATTGAAACACTTGATTCGAAATGGCAAATCAAAATTTGAAGAATTGTTTTTTCATCAAAAATGACATATCGTTAAAAAAATTAAATTAAGTTTTTAAATAGTTTAGAAATAAAAATAAATTAAAAAAATTACACAACCGTAAAGTACGGATCTTAGTCTAACGGTGCATTATAATAAAGGGCTACCCCTAATACATTTTTGTATGAAAACCAAGGCATTTTGCACATCGTATTTAGGTTGAAACAATTTATCATTATTTTCGGATTTTTTAATACTTTGAAAGGTTTGACAACATTTTCCAAACAATTTGGAAGCGGAGATCATTATTGCATATAAATCATTTTTAAAATTTATTGATATCTGTCCTATTTTTGGTATTTTTTACTTATAACAATTTCGGCAGATTTTCGATGTTTAAAATGGTATAGGAACAATTTCAAAACAAATTAGCAATAATTTGGCAATATTAACGAAATATTGACGAAATAGAAATTCAGTTTTGCCTCATAGTGGAAATATAATAATAGTGGAAATATAACATTGATTATATTGAAGAGTTTTATCGCAACTAAATTTGTTTGAATTGGTTTTTGTTCTAGTGGTAGGGAGGGTTGTTGTGGTATTTAACGAAAAAAAAAAATCAGTTTTTTAATAAACAAACAACACCTCCCTGTAGTTTGCAGAAAAATAATTAAAAACAAAAATTGGTTCCAATATAATCAATGTTGTGTAGGGTATCATGTTGTCCTATATATCCACAATAAGGCAAACCAAATTTTCTATTTCCTCAGTATTAACAATTTAATGCCAAATTAGAGCTAATTTCTTTTGAAATTGTTCCTATACCCTTTTAAACATCGAAAAACAGCCGATACTGTTCTATGTGAGAAATACCAAAAATAGGACCCATATCAACAAATTTTAAAAATAATTTTGATTTAAATAAGATCACCTCTATCAAATGGCTTAGAAAATGCCGTAAATCCCTTTAAAATATTCAAAAATTGGAAAATAATGATAAATTGTTTCAACCTAAATACGATGTACAATATGCCTCGTTTTTTATACAAAAGTGTATTAGGAGTAGCTCTCTCTTATTATATAACGTTAGACTAAGATCCCTACTTTATGATTGTGTCATTTTTTTAATTTGTTTTTATTTCTAAACTATTTAAAAACGTAATTTAATTTTTTAACGACATGTCATTTTTGATTAAAAAAATTAAAATAAAAAATTGATTTTCAAATTCCAATCATGTGTTTCAATAGATGGCGCTATTTGCATGTCGTTGCCGGTGTTGCCAACCTTATCAAAATATTCTAACAATGTACGCAAGTAAAGCATACTTTTAGGCGCAAATAAAACAATGAAAATTAATTTGTAAGAAAAATTATTTTTTTATTAATATAATTTATTGCTATTTTTTAGAATTTATAAACAATTAAATTACAAATATCATCTTATATATGAATAAATAGTGTACTGAAATAAGTAAAGTGAAAATGGAAGTGAGATTTAATTTGAAAAAGGGCACATTTTTTCGTTTAGCTTCTATAATTTTCAAATGTTGTTCCTTTGTGTGTTTTTAATACTACAAAAAGAAATATGAATTTAGATTGCTGGTTGTTTAGAATCCCCAAGCCGTGGTAGGATTCTTCTAATAAATAATCCAAAGGGTATTTCCCACCATTGTCCTCCTATTGCGATCGAATTGAATCTGAAATGAAACACATTCATTAAATTAATAAATTTAAAATAAATTTTAGTGGTACGTATAAAACAAAATTGCATCTGTTTTTTTGAAGTTATAGTGTATATTAGAAAATAAATATTTGTTTCATTAATAAAATATTAACAAAATATGAATTACTGGTCACATTCATTAAATTAATAAATTTAAAATAAATTTCAGTGGTACGTATAAAACAAAATTGCGTCTGTTTATTATTGTTTTTTTTTTTTTTTCAAGTTATAGTGTATATTCGAAAATAAATATTTGTTTCATTAATACCAGTAAAAAATTTACATTTGAAATATTTTGTTAGGTTTACAAATTCCAAGATAAAAACTCTCTACAATATTAATGCTTCAAATATGATTACTATTTTTTAATAAAATTCAATATAAATATTAACAAAATATTAAAAAAAAAAAAGAAGAATTGCATCGGCCGGGAATCGAACCCGGGCCGCCCGCGTGGCAGGCGAGCACTCTACCACTGAACCACCGATGCCTGCGTTAGGTCGAAGACAACTAACACACAAATCATTTACAGTTTGAAATTTATTGCAACCACATGAAATAAAATTAAATATTTTCACCTGTTCAAACTACAAAGCAAAACTACAAGACATTACAAACATCAGATATTTCATCGTCGA